GAGGGGACACAGAAACAAGAGGTCACAATTGGAAGTTGAAGACCCAGATGAGTCAAAGGAATTAAGAAGTATTTCTTCAGTCATAGAGTGTTTCTTTACATTGGTTGTCTATGTTCACCCATTAGTAAAATGGGTACCTGGGTGTTAGTGACTGGTGTGGGCCGCATCCTGGGACAAAACCTAATTTTCCCGAAATGCTCAGTATAACAAGCGGCTTTCTATATAGTACTATGTCACTAATGTCAGCTAGGACTGTATACCTTGTACATGTACTTGTAGTAAATAAAAATATTATAGTCTTATTAATACTTATTAAATATCATTAATGAATTTTTTCCCTAAATTGCTTGTACTATAATGTCTCTAATAGGACAACAGTACATATAGTGCATATTTTCTGTCTCCTTTTACCTGTCCGTTGTCTTCTATTAATGATTTGTTAAACGTTTGCTTAATTTAGGATATTTTTTGTCTAGTCTTAAAATTCTAAAGCATAGTTCATCTAACCCAGCTGATTTGTTGACATTTAACCTCACTACTCGAAGGTATCATAGGAATGTGTGATCCTTGAGGGGATGAACGCACGGGCTCAGATTGAACCACTTGCCTTGTGCTGCCGGAAGTACGCCAGTCTTTTATTTCATTAGTGATGATTAATTATACATAAACAATATACACTAACCTGACCAAGAAAAATTAAAACTTCACAGGTGGTGCCATTCGAAGCATACACCAAACGAATAAAAATTCGGAAGAAACTGAGCACTGTAATACGAGAGGTTGATCGTGTTGTGAGAGGATGGGCTCCCCCCCCCCCACGCACACACGGTTTAAGGGAAGGAAAATCCTGTGTCACAAACCTACTCGAGTTTTATGACAAGGTAACAGAAGTAAGAGGAGAGAGAGGGGTGGATGGACTGCATTTTCTTGGACTGCAAGAAGGCCTTCGACACAGTTCCTCACAAAAGGTTAATGCAAAAGCTAGAGGATCAGGCACACAACAGGAAAGGCACTGCAGTGGATCAGAGAATACCTGACAGGGAGGCTACAACGAGTCATGGTACGTGACGAGGTGTCAGAGTGGGCGCCTGTGACGAGCGGGGTTCCACAGGGGTCAGTCCTAGGACCTGTGCTGTATTTGGTATATGTGAATGACATAACGGAAGGGACAGAATCAGAAGAAGTGTCCTGTTTGCAGATGTGAAGTTAATGATGAGAATTAAATTGGACGAGGATCAGGCAGGACTACAGAGAGACCTGCACAGCCTGGTCCAGCAGCTGGCTCCTTAAATTTAGCCCCGCCAAATGCAAAGTCATGAAGATCGGGGAAGGGCAAATAAGACGGCAGACAGAGTATAGTCTAGGTGGCCAAAGACTGCAAACCTCACTCAAGGAAAAAGATCTTGGAGTGAGTAATACCTAGCACATCTCCTGTGGCACACATCAATCAGATAACTGCTGCAGCATACGGGCGTCTAGCAAACCGAAGAACGGCGTTCAGATACCTCAGTAAACAATTGTTCAAGACTCTGTACATCAGTGACCACACTTGACAACCTCAGAGATGTTTTTGGGTTTGCCCAAAAGAGATATACCTGTATGAGGAAATGAGATCTATATTAAAAGACAAGAACACCAACAAAACATCCTTCTTGAAAGACAAGTCAGCATGGTATGACAGCTGGGGAAAAAAAAGATGGGTGGTAGGGACTGGGCTGTCTTGGACAGTGCTCCTGAGGGTGCTAGTGCTGTCCTGGAAGACACTGCTGAGGGTGCTAGTGTTGTCCTGGAGGGCACTGAAGACAACATTATTCAGTCCGCAGAGGTTCAAAATAGAGATACTGCTGGAGATGGATCAAAATGGGATGATGCCTCAGGGAATAGTGTCGACACACTACCAGCAAAACCTGGTGGAAGCACTGATGTCCATACAGAGGTAAAAGATATTGACGAAACAGGAAAAATAAATGCACCAGCAGTGAACGCAGCTACAATATATCCTAGCAAACAGAAGTACAATCTATGTAAATAGTATGCCTTGGGTATCTGCAGGCACGGTATATCTGGTAAAACAGGTGGGACATGCACCTTTGACCATCCCAAAAAATGCCGCACCCACGTGACAACATGAGAGTGCAACTTCCTCTCTTGCAACTTATTTCACCCAGAAATGTGTCACTCATCAATCCATGAAAGAAAATGCTAACAATGCATACTGCCAGGCACATCATCTAAAGGGGACTAAAAGACACAGACCAGCCAGACTATGGAAAACAAAAGAGGAGCCACAACCTCTCCAGGGACAGAGGTTTTTTAGGGCCAGAAGGGAAAAGAGACTGGCAAGAAATGACAATAATCCTACACCACCTGAAAACACTTCTGGAGCAGAGGCACAGACATTGGCCTCTACCCCAGAACAACAGATATTAGAGCCAGCAAATAAAACCCCCTTAAATTCCACCAATATGACATTTGTCTTTGCAAACATACAGGGTCTAAAGCCATCAAAATACAAAATTCCTTACATCGAGGGACTGCTCACGGAGTTTAATGCAATGTTTGCAGCATTCAGAGACCCACAAAGTATCATTGCGACAACGAAATATGGATCCCAGGTTATAACCTATTCCGATGCGACAGACTAAACAGGCATCAAGGGGGGGAGGGGTGGGCCTGTATGTCACAGAGTCGCTCATTTGCACAGAACTACTAAACACCTCAAATGATGTAGTTGAAGTTTTGGCGGTAAAGATCGAAAACCAAAACCTTGTCATTGTGGTAGTATACAAGCCTTCAGATGCAACTTCCCAGCAATTCCAGGAGCAGCTTGAGAAAATTGACCACTGTCTGGAAAATCTCCCAACTCCTGCCCCAAACATCTTACAACTAGGAGATTTCAATCTGAGACACCTAAAATGGAGTAGTATAGCAATATTTTAGCAGAGATCACCCCGGGAGGCAGCTCAGATGAAAATTCACACACACACGAACTATTAAATCTCTGCAACAAATTCACCTTAAACCAGCAAACAGTAGAGCCTACAAGACTAGAATATACTCTGGACCTCATCTTCACTAACATTGACGATCCGATACATAATATAACTGTATCAAAGACAATTCACTCAGATCACAACATAACAGAGGTACAGACATGTATGCACAGGGCTCCGGACTAGCAAAATGTGAGCAGTTTACCTGGAGTTTACCTGGAGAGAGTTTCGGGGGTCAACGCCCCCGCGGCCCGGTCTGTGACCAGGCCTCCTGGTGGATCAGCGCCTAATCAACCAGGCTG